TTTTATTTCACAATTTCTTTATTCATTTATTTACAGGGCTACATTCGTTGAGAGCTATGCTACACGATGTATTATTATGTCCTTTATTCTAACACTGTATTTACCTTCCTTTGATGATTATATATATACATAAAGTTGTCAGTTCAGGCAACGTATAGTGCTCGATGCTATGCAGAGCGGTATAATAATAATAATAATAATAATAATAATAATAATAATAATAATAATAATAATAAGGAACTTGTAATTTCACTCTACAGGCTGTTTCATGCACTTGGCAATCTTCAGGAGTGAAGGGAATTTCAAATTTGACGTGTATATGTAGCGCCTGTTATATATTTGGTAGAAAGAGGTGGGGTGGGTGAATGTGTGTTGAATAATATACTGTATACAACGATATTCCCTGCTGTTGGATCATGATTCTTTCCTTACTTTCAGCAGCTTTAATTAATGAATATCGACTTACTAAAATGTCAAATAATTAGGCTTCCTTGTAAGGTGTACATCACCCTGAAACTAAAAAGTAAGCACAATCTTTCTTTTTACTTCTTATACTGTACTAACCAAACTGAGCCTCTGCTATCAAATGAATTCCTTCGCATACTGCTGCTGTAGCCTTATATACGGAGATGTATGCAAAATAGGCTCAAGATTGGACTTAACCCATCACCTTCATTTTCATTGGTCGTTCAATTTCTAATTTCCCACCAAAAGCTTTTTCCCTCAAAATCTATGCGGACCGATAAGTAAGCACTCACTGTACTGTAATTGGTTGAGTACGAACTCGTATAGTGTAGCACTGTAGCAGGTGTAGGCGGAACGATTTAGGCTAAGCCAAAATTTGTCCAGGCCGTACCAATATTATCGAACTTTGGCCGGCCAAAATCGGTCCCCCAGACAAATTGTAGCGGCTAAAATCGGTCCCCCGGACCGATTTTAGCCCTGACCAATTTTGGCGTGACACGCCTACTGTACACCTATATGATCCTTATATAGGATTTCTATAGGATTCCTATAGGAATTTTTATTTTGTAAGAATAACAGGTTACTGTGCACACAATTTCACATGTTTTAAAGCCATGTTCAGGAGAGGAAATTGTTTAACTTGTACAGTACAACTGAAAATGGGGCGAAACCACTCTTTTCCACTTTTCCCCCATTTTTTAAGTATTCAAAAATCTGTATCTAATTAACCGTTCCCGAGTTTTTCGTCAAATATGTTTGCGTCTTAGAAAAACCAGTTTTGTGCAACATAACATTATTTTTTTTTCTCCAGAGCTTCACTTTAACCAATTATGCTACATGCTAAAAAATGTTTATCCATTGATAGACCTTGAGTCAACAAGCAGTCATAACACGGTCAAGGTGAAGAGCTAATGTAAAGACAATTTTTTTACACTCATCAACAAAAATGTCACTAAACTACACGCAGTATTGCGCGAAAAAGTAAGTTCAATGGCGCCAAAGCATACACAGGGTTAATATAGTGAACGCAAAGAGGCAATGTGTAAAATGTAAATTATACATGCTTTAGTGTCTTTAAAAGCTATATTGCAACCAGGACCTGATATTCGATTGCATTTTTAATTTAAAAACATTTCATATGGTAACATCAAAGAGTATAAAACTGCAAGAGGTCCGACTGCCGGGGATTCTTTGGAACGCAATCCTATTTCAAAAAGTACTACCTGTCTCTTATACACATCTAGATGTGTATAAGAGACAGTATGAAACCAACGAAGAAAAATCCGTCATAAATTATTGAAAAAAAGCCTGAGTCATTCCATAAACGCCATATATAACTCAAGAACGTCGAGATTAATATCCGATGAAAGGAATATTCTGTTTGCATCAACTCTTAACGATGATTTGACAGTCATGTTCAAGGGCGTATTGGAAATTTAGAAGGATGGTGTATCGGGTTAATCTGGCTCACGACATTCGCCTTCTGTTCAAATTCTTTGTAACTGGTAGTAAACGATATCTGGAATAATGTTTATTGCACAAACACACACTTAACAACCCTGAAGAAATAGCAGGTTTTACAAAAGTATAGTGCATTAATTCATTTCAGTTACAATTTGTTACTTTTTGTTAAATTTAACTTCACGTGTGAATCGGGTATTAGAAAAACCAGTTTTGTGCAACATAACATTTTTTTTTTCTCCAGAGCTTGACTTTAATCAATTATGCTACATGCTAAAAAATGTTTATCCATTGATAGACCTTGACTCAACAAGCAGTCATAACACGGTCAAGGTGAAGAGCAAATGTAAAGACAATTT